TTACGGGTAGTTACACAATTTCATGATATGACAAGAGTGGGTATTGAAATCATTATGAACATGAACCTACCTTCTTCAGAGCCATTTTGCCAAAATAGGTTGGGGTCATCTTTAAGTCGACTACGATACGGCTCAACTTCGATTTTTTATGCGAAGCGATTGCCATCAGACCCCCAAAAGTACTGCTGACAGGACCGCAGACCGCCAGAGAATGGGGAGCTCTGGTGGGAGATTATTTGCTGTGGTAGGGGATATAAGGTCGCTACGCTGCGATTGAGGGGGGGAAGTGTTTTCCCTGATATAAGGCCTGATTAGGCATGGTGTCGATTCGGGAAAGACCTGAAATAACATGGTCCGGGTGATCCCAGAGTAGGGCGCCTGAATCATCACATACCTAATCCTGGCTCCTGGTTCCTGAGATTTTACACCCCGACAAAAAAGAGGAGCTCCAACTATCCGAAACGATTGCGACAGATGATCGTATAGAGACGAATTAAAATGTTGTATGAATGACGTGTCTACGATCTCAGCAAAGAAAAAACTTTATTGTGTTTATTAACATAATAAAGTTTTAACAAAGTATAATAATAAGGTTTATATGCCATATAAACCATATCATACTTGGATGGATAAATTTTGTAACAATCCCAGTGTTATATCATGCTAATTTATCTTCTTGCCTGCCATCTTTTCTGCACAGATGGTTATATTTATATACTCGTACTAGCGATCCAATGTTGATACTACTAATACTTACTACTAATTTGGTGTCAGTTTGAAGTAATTAATAATACTATTATTATGATCAGACCATACTATAGGACATCTTACGCTATATTTAAACGCCCGCTCCTCTCCTGCCGGCTGCCGCCACCCGGGACGGATTGCCTGCAATTTAAATTTCTGATATCTGCTAAGATTTCATTTTTATGAAATGCTATTAAAAGCAATTTCTAATGAATAATACAGTATTGGCTAAAATGGCTTCGTAAATTACCTATATCCTGTTATAGATAAAAATGGTTACTGTGAGTTATCCTTAGGAGATAGACATATGCCATTGTGACCTATTACAGATCTTTTTAAATTTAGCCTGCGTTTGCAATGTAAGCGCACAAAAACATGTTTTACGAATACACAATACAAATTCTCGGATTTTCTCTATTATGATATATTCTGCATGTATATAATACATTTAAACCCGCCTCTTGAACCACTATGGTTGAAAATTGCATTAAAGTCCGTTGTGTAGATCGAAAGATCTAATCGTACAAAGAAAAAAGCGAATTCATTTTATACTATGTAAAGAAAAAGATATTCAATAATAGGTCTTTACCTATGATGTCCGTACCCTATCCGTGTGGTGACAGATTAAGAATATAGAATGTCACCACCCCTATTCATCCGTTTGGTGACGTAAGAGCCGTCAAAGAAAGCAAACTACGCAAAGATAAGGAAAACTTGACCACAAACCCTATACCAACCCGCCTCGCCAGCGTGGCCTATAGTAGGCCAAAACTTCCTTTCTAAGGAGAGGCCTATCATAGGCCGCCTATGTCCAGCAGTGGATTATGAAAAGCTGTTGATGTGATCATGATTGGAGATTTCTAAAATCAGCATTTAATTATCTGTGGATTGGCGCGCAACTCGAAATTCAAATAAATTTTATCTGAAAGCCATGTTATTTTATTTTAAAATTCAGTCATTTGTTTCAGATAGTGTTTTGTTTTTGTGAGATTGTGGTTGTTTTTGGCGCTACGGATAGACTGATACTGTCTGATGATAGTACGGGCCACACACTGCTTGCATAAACACGGTCCATTATTGGTTAAATCTGAAAAATATGAGTTGAAAAACGAGTCTTGCGGTCGGCTCGACAATGACGATTCGAAAGCGATAGTGGAATCTGATCCTACTCAATCTACGGCTGAGGCACAGCAATGAAGATCTTGCGTCTAATCAGAAAGATTAAAAAGCTATATAACTGGGTGCCACACGAACTAAGTGACCATCAGCGAGACTTACGCGTCGAAGCATGCATACCACTACTGAATCGGCATAGAAACGAGGGCAATCTTTTTCTTTTCTTTTTCCTTCTTTTTAAAAATACAACTCCCGCACTAGGAATAAATTCTGTGTCGCGGGGAACTTTACAAACATACATGAAACGAACAAAAATAACACCCAGCCTTAGAACAATAATTTGTGATTCACAGAAAGTGTCGTCCGTTGTGTGGTGATCGGACCCACAGCACTCAGCGTAGTAGTGAGCGGCGTGGCGACCGCTTAAACAACTTAGCCATCCGTTCCGTGCAGTGAAAGATGAAAAGTGGTTCCTGTACGATAATTGTAAGCATTCGTCTTAGTGGGTGGACCCGGGTACAGCAATTAATCAGTGCGCTAAAAAAAGTGGACTAGTGCCGGACTTGTACATCATAGCTTCTAAACCAATGACGCAACAGTCATGCTGATGCCTATTGTCAAGAATTGCAAACAATGATGCAGAAGCTCGCAATTCAACAACATGACTGGTCAATCGTTCTTCCGAATTGCTCCCCCAAGACAAGGCGCGAGCTGACTCTTCAAATTTAGTCAATTTTTCAAGTGGAAAAATTCAACAACCGAGAGGCAGTACGAAACGCTTTCGCTGACTTATTCGTCTCCCGTCCAGTCAAAATGGCAAAATTGTAAAGATAATTTAGGCCAGTACTTTGATTTGCTAAAATAAAAATAAAACAAAATTAAAATTAAAAATTTTCATCCTAATCTCCAACTTCATAGGTACCTAGTACGAGTATATACCTACCTAGACCTAATATATACAGGTTAAATACACACACGCCTTTACTCCCTAAGGGGTAGGCAAAAGCGTTTTAGACGTATTAACTGCTGTCAATCCGACACCTCAGGGATTAGATGGCAAAATCATTTAAATAGAAAGGAAAACTAGATTAGAAGGTCAGTTTATGTATGGAAAAGGATATTGCTTATCTGACTGGATGGGGGGATGTCAGCAATTGTCCGAGCAGATGAATGTAACATACCTGTAGATCGGATTAGGTAATATTGACGAAAATTCTGAGCAATCAAATCAACTACAGATTATTTAATAACTTTTAAGCTCTTGTATCTTCTTCTTGTAAACAACTTAATATCTCAAAGTAAACCTATTAAAATATCATTAGCGAGTTAAAAAAATGTTTATTTGACACAAAACAAAACATTCAAAATGGATATATTGTTGTTAAATACTAAGGATATATTATGAATGGTAAAATGTGGCAAACGACTGTATTTTGGCTGACAGTGTTCGGTGAAAATTTACACAACAGTATTTGTTGTGTTGCCTAGGTAGTTTCTTTCTTTCCTCGTATTCATAAAGGCTAGATATTGAAATCCGCGTATTGCATATTAAGTTCAGAATAATCTACAAATTATAAATCACCGTTGTAACTGGGCTAGATATTAGCATTATTCCGAAGATATTATTTTAAGTAAGTTAATTTTTATTCTCTGCTTAGGAGAATGCTGCTGCGAATGCCATAGATCTTAAATTCAATAATTGTAATAATATTTCCTGTGGTTCCTGTGGATGTTCAAACTATTGTGATACTTTAGTAGGTAAGTTGATAGTAGATAAGTTGCCACAAGCGAATATAATTCTTTGACAGAATTGTCATGTGCTTTCGCCCAACTTTAAGTTGAACATATTATGTTTGCTTCATTTGCAATAGCTTTAGACTGCAGTTTTAATGGTATTGTAATCATAACAAAGTTTTTAGGAGTTTTTTTCATATTATACTTTGACTCTATAGTAAGACTCTTCTATGGTATAGTATGGTATGGTATGAAAGTAAGACTTTTCTATGGTAGCTCATAACTCCTAATTTATGTGGTCAAGATAATAAGTTAATATGTTTACAGCAATTACAGCGACACCTAAATATTCTTTTTTTTTCTGCCAGACACACAAACTCTCTACATACATTAGATGATTTTGTATTCCTTTAACTGTTTCAGATTGAATTCGTTTATTCAATTATTTTATTTTTAATATAATTGACGAGATTATTAAACTGGAAACTTGTTTTATCCTGAACATACTCTTAGATTATTTACCTCAAATTTAAATTGTAATAAGTGTGGTTTTTACTAGTTTTTATTTCATAAATCATTTAGGGTTTTTAAAAATTTGCAATGTGGTCGTAATTCTAACGCTAATTCGAAGTGATTTACAAAACTACGTCGGTTTGCTATCTATGTCTTCTAAAAGTAACTGCACGACCTGAACGTAGGCATAGTCTATTATGAATTTTATATTGTTAAAATCAGGTCAATAGTTTAACTAAATTGAATCTGTTTCATTAGATTCACAGAAGCAAATTTTTCATCATCCATTGAAACTTATCATTGATTTTAAGTTACAAAATTAACTTATTCTTTTATATAAAGCAAAATAAAAAAATGGGCAAAATTCATCAATTTAATTATAATACAAATAAAATCTAAACAAGATCTTGAATAATACAATAAAGTTCCGAGGTGAAATCGGAATCAAATCTTTAATATCTCAAAATATAGGAAGACATCACTTTACAAAACTTTTAGATATAAGAATACACTTTTTACAAAAATATTATTCAGGACGGAATGCAGGAATTGACTTAGTCCGTAATATGTATTTACACACATAAAATGAGATCAGAAAATTTACAAGTTTTAAGAAAATTACAACTAAATAATACTAAACCCAGAATCGTAAGGATATTGCAAAATTTATTACTACACCCTAATTGCCACTGCCAAACTAGTTGGTATAACCTACTAAATCACCAAAGTAAAACCACTGAATTTCAGACATAAATAATGTGTAAAAAGAATAATTTACATTCCAAACTAAGCTCTTGTGGCGCAAATTAGTACTATACTTAAATCTAAAAGGCACCGTTTCAATAGTAAAAAATCAGTCTTTTTGCTTTTGCCACTGTTAAAATTAACTGTTAATTTTCATCTTCCGTATCTAAGCTGTCGATTGGAAAGTTTGGATTTAGAAGAGGACTTTTGCCATTACTGCCACTTGGAGAAGTATTCACCGAAGAAATACCAACAAGGTTGTGAGTCAGACTATGACGTCTTAGGTCACAATTTCTTCTAAATACCTTGCCGCAAGATGAACAGTTATAAGGCTTGATGTCTGTATGAGTGAGCAAGTGGGTCTTCAAATTTGACCTTTGGTTAAAACTTCGGCTGCAGACTGGGCACTTATGAGGAGATTCTTCCATGTGTAATATTTTGTGGACAGCTAAAGTTCTTGATTGACAGAAACCCTTTCCACATTCTAGACATTTGAATGGTTTCTCCTTTGAATGGATGTATCTGAAAGAGAAGTTTTCTTGTTAGACTGATTCCGTATATTATGGTTAAGTTTTGAGTTTAAAGTTTTGCTGTATTGTTAGTACTTTTGCAGATACTTAATCATTAACAGAATATAAAATAGGTACTACGTCTTTTAAGAAGACTAACATTTGTATGCCTCTTGTCCATCCGCTTGAGATGATAGCTTTCTAAAAATACTAAAATTTAAACTTCTCTACAAAATATAAAATGTTAACATTGAAAGCTTAAGGAATTTTAATGTTCTAATAATACGTAATAACAAGACAAAATTATATAAGGTATAAACTTTATTATTGCTGATATAACACATCACTTAATATGACGGGTTGAGCTCAATAAATACGTCATGTCTTTAGGCGCCAAAACATTGACCCTCGCGTGCAAAACACTTTGTGGATACAAACGGGGAGCAAACAAGAGCCCAGGGGTTATTGGTAATAAATTTCTTCTCTTGTTCACTTTTATTTTAAGTATTGTGAATACATGTATATTTACAATACTAGCAATAAAAGGGCGCTTCGCTTGTGAAGTTTAAAACTACACCATCAAATTCAAAGCAGAAAAATGATTTTTGGAGAACAATAAATTATATATTATTGGATTTACACCCAATAAACACGATGTATAATTATGAGGAGGTAACTTTTAATTATAATAAAACATACGACACGTTTCTCACAAATGTTGATAGCAACTGATTTCAAATTAAATTTAACTATACAACGTATAATTAACACACCGGGTAACGTGTAATCAATAATTACACAGCACGAAAGATCGACCATCGAGTATACAATTCAAGAAAATTATATCCGTACCGTATAAACAAAGTAACGTAATACGTGTAATAATCGGTGGGATTAGTTCGATCGGGGACGATAAAATAGGGATACAAGATGATGAATGAAATGATAATTTCAATATTAAAATACGCTGATGGTGGTGCTTAGGAAGTGACCGGCGCGCGCGCATTCGAGCGTGCTGTGACACCGGCGCAAGCGTCGCGATAGGCCTAACTTGAACCAACGCGACAACACTGATTAATTAATCCTCCAATGCAGACCGATGGCCTATGAAATTTCTGTTCTCTATGCCAATTACCGTTAATAATTAATAAATCATGTATGAATAAAAAAAATCAGTGCCTTATAACTTCAGACATTTAATTACTAAATGAACTATAATTTAAGTACATTAGCCTTTTAATCTACACAAAAAATGTGATCATCTTGAATATCAAAACTTGATTTTGTATGCACAAGATATTTACTGATCTTTTTTTATTTTTTGTCATCCATATTAATCCTCACGTCAGGATTACCACGTGCTTTGTTAAAACCCGTCGAATGCCCGCTTCGGTCCATTATTATGTATCATGTCAACGGACATCGATTGAACATTGACAGCCCGGCCGGGATGGGCCGAACTCGAGTTAACCCTCCGGCGTCTACACGAAATTTATTTTATTGCTACAGAGATACGGTGATTTGGGAGGAAATCGCCGAGAGACAGGTGTAAAAATTCAACACCTTTTACTCTTTGAATCCGAAGAATAGATTAAGAGTTGTTGTAAAGCTATTGACATATATATTTTGTTTGAGATTCATGAGTTTCAAATTCTTATTCTTGTAACGGTTGTGTTACATCTTATTCGAGAGCATTGTGAAGTTTTTTTAAAGGATAAATAAGTATTTTGATATGAAGGAAGATACGGTCAGAGATTTATAAGGAATGCGAAGAAGTCGAGAAGAAAACAAAATGAAAAGCCAAAATTAAAACATCGTCTCGTGAGATTAGCGGCGGTTTTGTGAAATAATTTACGAGCGTGACGAAAGACTTGTCGATACCATCTGCTCGGTCCATACTTAACCCTTTTTGTTTTAAAATATTTTTATTCGTTCCTCACCATTATTCAAAAGTTTCCCATAACGTTTTGCTTTGAAACCCGACGACCAAAATCTTTTATTGATATCAAAAAATGAGTATCGTGAACCTTTAAAATATTTCTCGACACGGTTATAAGATTGTTTTATCTTATTTGAAAGCTACGCCACAGGGATCTTTTGTGGTTGAAAAACATAATTGAAGTTCATTTGGTTTCTACCAATTCTATTTCAGAATACCTACAGTTATAGCTTAAATAATATTTAATAAAAGAAGGAAAAGGTTAAAGTTCAACTAATCACAAATTATGAATGAGACATAGGTAATAGGTATTTAAAAATAATCTATAAGCCGAATTTACTTTTTATAATATATACGATACGGTACGGTATGTCTAAGATTTACAAAAGCAAATATATATATTTTTATTAAAAAAAAAAACAATATTAGACTAGTGGTTATTAGTACTTTGTCAGTTATATTTTGATTGATTAGAAATATGCATAAATTTTATTTTTACCTGTGGTCTCGAAGGTGGTCTTGCCGTCGGAAAGCTTTCCCGCAAATGTCACACGAGTATGGCCGTTCATCTGTGTGTGTCCTTTCATGAATTAGTAAGTTATAAGATTTGGTGAATTGACGATTACAAAACTTGCAGATGAATTGTTTCTTTGTCCTAGGTCCACCCCCACCTGTTTTTTGTTTATTATTATTAGACACACTACTTCCCGTTGACGACGTGGAACTATTGGTGGATTTTGAAGAGTTTGATGCCTGCGGAGACAGAGGGGCTTGTGATGGACTTCCATTCATTTGTTGCTGATACATTGCATTCATTAGAAGACTAGGGTATCCATTGTCTAAACTTTGTGATGAGCCATATCCATAACTTTTTGATGTTGATTCTAAGTGTTGCTCCAAAGTAAATTCATCTTCATTGTCAAGAAGGGCTAAGTCTTCTTCTACTTCTTCTGACAAGTCAACATCTTCAGCAGCTATTGCATCAGAAAGTGGATATTCTTCAGGTGTTTTCGGTGAGAATTCTTTTGAGGTGTCAGATGCATCTATTTCACTTATTTTTGCACTTGCCGTCGCTATTCTTAAAATATCCTGTTTAGATGATGAACTAGTTTCTGACGTATTTGGTTGAACTGTATTAACCGAAGATACAGAAGTCAGACGTTGCAATGTTAAATACGATTCTAAAGCTTGCAAGTTTAAAGCAGCTGCTGCAGCAGAGTTAGACGGCAAAAGTGCTGCTTGTTGTAATGAATTCATCATCGCATTTTGTAGCGATAGTACTACTCCTTGTAGAGATCTTTGCAACATGTTTTCTTGTAATAAGGCTGCTGATGCAATAGATAAATTTATATTTGTGGATGTAGTAGAACTAGGGCTCTTACTTGAATTTGCTTTAGATTCCGCATGAGGCGACGGTGGATCAGCTGCTAGTAAAATATTCATATCGGTGGTCTTGGTATCCTGGATTTGTAAGTTGTTCTTGAGTTTAATAATCGCGCTTTCCAATGAATTTAACGTTGACTTGCTAGATCTTGATGAATTTTGCTCTTGCATGGTGACACTTTATTCAACGTGAGTTGGTTACCATCTATGAAGGGTTTTGCTTGTATTGTGTGCACGTGTTGTACGAGGGGCGGCGCGGGGGAGGGACTCGCGTGCGCGTGCGCTGTTCGAGAGGCACGTTCCGTGATGCAGCGTGCGAGGCGGCTGTACGGCGCGGCGCGACTGAGCCGGCGGGCAGCCGGCGACCGCCCCGCCCCCACCTCGTTCCTCGCCTGTCTTCCCGCCTCACAAAAGCTCTCTATTTTAGGCAACTCTTTGTACGCAGTAATGGTCACCTCACGCTGCCCTAACGACAGACACGTCCATGAGAAAACGTTGCGCCAGATTTGTTGTAACCCTTTTCAAGTGTAATGAGATTCTGAATGGAATCGTTCGGGTTATGGGAAAACAATATGATGCTATCGCTTCGCTTGTTTTGTCAGTGGGTCACGCGCATTGGTAAAGGGATAATTGAGTGTAGAATCTTACCATATGTTACGATGAAAGGAATATCACCTGTACGACATCTTGCACATGATTTGATCAATATTATTATACGTACAACTTTATGCTGTATTTCCATTTTTATATTATATTATACAATTTATGTTTAATATTTGCACAGTTCAATAGACGTTATATTTTATTAAGTGCTACAAAATAGGGTTTAAATAATATGAATATATAGTTAAGCATAAAAATATATTTGGAAATATATTATTAAAATAATTAGGGACCCGAGATCGTTCAAACACACGTAAACAAATTAGAAAACTATATTTTAATTTTTATCTGTTGTAGTAGACATTGTAAAAATAGTTACAATTTAGAATTACTATTTCGGTTAAATCATAACGTTATAATAAAGGAACATAGTGCCATATATTTAAGAGATATCTTTCTATCAATGCCATGCAATGACATCAGTCTAATTTAAAGCTGTTCGTCCACCTTTACTCTTGTAGATAAATTTAAATGAATAATAAGTACTAGTAAGTTGGTTCAGCATAATAATAATATCAAGACATACACAGATGATGTTGACAACTGATGTGTTGTTCAAACAATTTATAGCATAGAAGGCTATCGTATAGTTACAGATTCTTCGTTTCTTTGTATCCTGTCAAAGTATAAAGATAAAAAATTAGTTTTAAAGATGCCTTTTTAATGTTTCCTTAGAGAAACCTCCGTTAGTTATTTTCTTTTTATCTTGTTCTTTTCTCGTAAATTTTAAGAGAAGAATGCCGTCGTCATAATTATGTAGTTACCTGTTATTTAAAAAATTAAAATATGATACGAAGAGTATCCTTCCGTCATTAGTCAGGCACATGCTTGGTCCAGATATCGTTGTGCCAATATGACCCAAAATATTTTTTGTGGAGTACGGGTCAAATGAGCGAATGGGTCATCTGCAACTCACGATTCAGAAGTGATTTGTTACCCTTTAAGTGGTCAAATTTGAGAACGTTGGTAACTAGCACAGTCCGTAGGGTTACTAGCAAGGTTAGATATAGACAAGTAACAAATGTTTTCAGGGTTTCTGTTAGACGCTTCGACACTCTAAGAAAAAATGATAGTAATCAATTTGTACACACATGTAACTTGATTTAGTAATTGATAATTCAATTCATTCTCTTTATAAAAAAGACAATCTGCACATCCAAGATCTCATTAAAGGGTGAAGGCTAGTCTAAAAATGCTAAATCTTCTTACCTAGTTAAGGCAATTATTAATAATTAATATTTTTTTGGAAAAAAGAGACTTGTGTAGCGGTCACGGTAGGTTCTATTTACCTTCAGATATTTTAACTTCACTGAAATAGTGTTCGTTACAAGATAGTTATGCAGTTCGACTTAATTTCTAGAGTATATACTTACAAGTCCATCCATTCATCTACATATTAATAATATTATTTATTTTCACGTGACTGTATAGGAATGCGAGTACAAAGTTCATTTATCTGTTCTTAATGATGATGGAATGCTCAGCTGATACAATTACACGAAATATCAGTAATTTAGGCAGGTTCATAATTCCTTTTATTATAAGGCAGAATTATGTATTTTATTCTTTTCTTTCTCCTAAGTGTTGCGTACGTACGTGTACCAAAAATTTCGTACCGAAAGCGTTCGTCAAAAGTGACACTTAGGTTTGTTTTAAAAAGTGGTATAGTGGATAACGCCTGGTTTTGTATATTAGAATAGAGAGTACTAATAATAAGAGTGATACTTATTTGCTGTTTCAGGCGTAGATATATGATCAATGTACAAATGTGGATGATACTGATCAAATCATTAATTAATAAATTAATAATAAAATTATCAATTCTTAATTGTATCTACTTTGTGCATTAAATAAGTCTTCTTAGATATGTTCCTATTAAAGATCTAACGTTAATGGGCTCCTTACGATATCATAATAATCGAACATAGGCTCTTAAATTAGGTACCAATTAATTACGGCGCGTTTGCTAAGTTAATGTCTTCTGTCATATTTCCATTATGTTTTGAAATGGCAAATTTTTAAATTTTATATGGGTTTGTATTTGCATTTTATATCTATTTCGTGATTATGGAATTCTTTTATTTGAATACCTATATCTTACTAAATCATTTGGCTGATGAGTCTCATTTTAATGACTTAATTTGAGTTCGATTGGATGTAATTTAGTAAATTTAGTTTAGATAGAGGAATTGATCAAATTTGCAAAAAAAATTTTTTTGTAATGAATAATAAACAAATCAAGAAATATTTTTATGAAGATAACTTACATTAATTTACCTTTTTATTTTGCTTAAATAATTTACAATTTCTATCCATTTACGCGCTTGAGTTTACTAATTTAGATTGACAAATGTAGTATAGCATCAGTAATAACCTTGGTATTGTGACTAGAATTCGGGGTTCATACATATTGCATAATATTTCGGACATCTAACACTAAACGCCATCTAGTTTCTAAGTAGAGCTTGTACTATAAAAGCTAGATTGACTGATAGAATACTTATATACTTTATACTATACATGGAAAACACACCAAATCTCCGAAACAAATATTCGCTGAGCATACAAACCTCCTTTCTAAGGAGAGGCCTATGTCCAGCTAAAGTGGACTAGTAAAGGCTGTTGATGATGATACAAACATATGGTCCGACCCAGGTATCGAACCCGAGACCTCCGAACAGTAGTCGCATACGCTACCACTGCGCCACCGAGGCAATACCCTTATCAAATCATTATTAATTTAATTTTGAATTTAAATTTAAATTATTTTACTACTTACTACTACTACTACTTACTAATAATACCATTACCAGGCTTTTAACATACCTAAAGATGTAGCACCATCTCAATCAGTCAGTTTTAACAGAGCTTTCAGTGCGGGCCAATCGTAGCGCCGAACGCGGCCACCGTGACCATCGAGTAGAAGTTAAATAAACTCGCACTTGGCCCTCAGAAACCATTAAGGAGACATGTTACTTTCGGCACAAATGGACCGGAATGATATCACGGCCTCACAGAAAACCGGTGTTCAGCAATTTTTTTGTTGCTTTTCAGAGAGCGACTGCGGTTACCGAAGCCCAAACCCCCTTTTCCCAGATTCTGGATTAACTCGAAGAACGGTAACGCATTTTATTTGTCACAAAATGCGTGTCAGGTTTCCAAGTTATCCAAGAGAGAAGTTTGTGGAAGAACGGGTGTCATGTCACTCTAACACAAATGGAAGTTGTATACATGCTAATCGGCGTGAGAATTTTTCGAATCGCGATACAGGATTAGCAGTTACTCCGTAGTTCGGTGTGTCTTCGTTAGATGGTGTTGTAGTATGTTTCTTCGTTTTACCGTATGTGGAAGTTGCCACAAAGTTGGTTTTAGGCTAGTTGCAGCGGTGTGATCGGGCTTGCTACCAGTGTTGCTGATTTCTTTCTCGCTAGTTTATCTGAGACATCGTACATCGACAGATATGACCAAAGTTAATTGTGTTGCCTTTTAGTGCTTTTAGAGCGGTAATGCTGTTTGGCAGTATACAGATTTAATATATCTTCATGACTCTTGATAATACCACTACGGTGATGTAAGCGATTGGAACACATTCACATTGGAATATAGAACTGTGTAGGCCCAACACCAAAGATTTAATAGCTTTAACAAGTTTCCTAAGCAACTTACACTCACATCACATTACGTGTAGTTAAGTGCCAGGAGAACTCTTTAACAATGAATATCCAACAAAAGATACAAATAACAAAACAACAGTAATGTGTAACCCAAATTACTAAGTGCCTCAATTGATTAATTTTACAATGCAACATGTCCACCGTTTTATATTCAACATTAATGTATAGGTATATATTTATGTCTGTAAATTTTACAAACAAAGTTCATCTCTTCATTGCACTTGTATTGCAACAGCTACAGAATTCAGACAATACTATCGAGGCATCGTCACGCATTGCGAATACAAACAAAGACCCATGCTCCAATAGAGCGTGGTAATTGCAACTTACAATTGACATGAGAACAGTGGGGAAGTGGCTTAGTACTGTGAACGATTTCTAGCTTGAAACATTTACAGACGACTTCTATGATGTAGGTATTTCTTTAAGTACTTATCTAAATTCCAAGAATAGTCTATGTAAAAAATATTTTTAACTTAATTTAAATTGACGCAGTATATAATACGACTGAGGGGAAGCCTATGTCCAGCAGTGGACTATTAAAGGCTGTTGATGATGATGATGATGATAATACGATAACCCCGTATGAAATTATGCATTTTCATGTGCTCATCAGCTCATTTAGCACTAACACTTCTTTAACAAGACATACAGATTAAGAATATGGAGTGTCACCACCCATATTCATCCCGTGGGTGTCGTAAGAGCCGACTAAGGGATCAAACTACGTAGAACAAGAGCACTGCAAAGAAAAGGAAAACTTGCCACAAACTATTCCAACCCGTCGGGCCAGCGTGGTATAGTAGGTCAAAAGCTCCTTTTTAATATGTGTCGAGCAGTTGTTTTTTCATCAAATTGAACCAAGCGGTATGGCATAGCATTAAATCCTATATTTATTCTTCAATTTTTTAAACTAAGCAACAAGCTTGTACCATGAACACAAATAATAACAAATAGAGTAGAAGATTAAATGCCACAGTCTCTTACTTGCTAATTACTAGCATTAAGGAATATATCCTGTCACGGGTTACTTTACAAACATTCAGATAACGGACACAAAGACCACTCAGACTTAACAAGAATTTGTGAATCACACAAAGTGTTGTCCCATGTGGGGATCGAACGCACAACACTCAGCGCAGTAGGAAGCGGCGAGGCGACCGTTTAAATCACTACGCCATCTTTGCAGTCATCAGCCAGGATGCCTCAAACGCTTTATGTTTCTGTCACTTGATTAGTGTGTGTGAGTGTGACCAACAGGCACAAAACCCAAATCCAGAAGTATCATTAAGTTTGTTGTTGTGATTATATAAGTAGAAGCAATACCTGCTCTAGACATGTTTGCAGTAGAATTGTAGTTGGGATGTACTCGTGAAGATAAAGATAAACCTTTTTATAATACAAT